CAGGAACATGACGACGTACGTACGACCGCCAGCAGCTAAAATGGACAATAATCAACTCAATCAAATTTCCTTATCTTCACGCATAATTAACGGCATTGTAGGTAACCAGTGTGAACTGTTGAAATCAGGAATATATCGAAACTGAAGAAGCGTCTATAGTTTATATCGCTCAAATAGTTCGATATCTACAGGAAATACCATTTGCTGAAGATCGTGCAAGTATCTTCAGTCAAAAGACGAAACAATTGGGAAAAAGAAGCAGTAAATTCTGGAAACTATGAAGGTAGACTGAAACTGTTGGCATACATCTAATTGTTTCGGGAACTCCACAAGGCTGGAATCATCTAAAACCTATCAAAAACAACTATTGACAACGTAGTTTTAAATTATGGCTAATGGAATACATAATTGCAAGTACGCCAAGCGGTTGCGACGCGGTTAACCTGCTAGCGATGGACAAAGTCCCGGCCTTCTACGTCGTATGCCAACAACAACAATCAAGTTAACCGGAAATTTCGGTACAGCTATATTACGATTTATCTACAAACTCATCAATGCTAAGAATGGTGGACAGATATGTGCAAATAGTAAAAATCGTCAAGGCGCTCAATGCACACACGCGAGCGGTCGCTCTGCGTCAACAGTAACACGAACACGTGCGAGCGCGTGCGAGACGTTAGGCTTAGGGCAAGTTGACGGACCTGACGACGAGTGCTTTGGCAGCAGCTGCATGGAATGCGATGATACGACTATGGGAATGCTCAGTATTTATCGGCCCAGGAACATTGGTGATGGGTCCAACATCTAATAGCCCTTCCTATCCGCTGCACTCAGTTATGCAGCCACCAGTAGATGGAGAGATCTAGAACGATAAAGTCCATTGCCGTTATGTAGAGGTGAACAGCTGTGGAGAGGGGAATCAGCTATCATTGAATTCCAATCAGTTTCTTGTTTACAGTAGGTGGGAATCCTGATGGTTCTGGATAATAGTAAAACACGTTTCGTAGCATGGTTACCCAAACATGAAGGGTCTTAGTTGAGGAATAGGTGTGAGATATGAGGGGAAAGCGACTACAAAAAAGTATTAAAACAAATGAAGTTATAAAATAGCAATGGTTGTACGACTAAGTAAGAGTAAAGGGCATGCAACCAATGAACAAGATGCTGTGATTCAATCATTACACTTACTTTTCAATTTTTTTTTACATAAAAAAGGACGTTACCAAACATTCCGAGAAAAGCAAGTATAGCCATATTTATCGATACACATCACAGAAATTTGCACAACATCTCAATCAATAAATTAGAAACCCGTATAGAATACATTAAAGTCACCTCAAGTACAATAATTCTACCTAGTATGCTCGTGTTCGTATAACCACTGCAAAGGAAGAGCTGAACGTTAGGGCGAAAAATTATTTCAACGCTTTCTTCGACCCAAAAAGCCGGCAGCAGAATAAGCAGACCCCCTGGCTGGCAAGTATAGATCTTCCCAAACAAAGTTCCTCACATGAGGGCTCAGAGCAGCTCCCAGATGGTCATCTCAATTATTTCATTGATATCAGTCAGTCCGTAGCCTCTAAAAATTTCTCTTGACAAGCTTTTCGAGTCTCCTCATACTTGTCGTCTCGGCCAACCCGTCCGCTGCCATCGACACGACAGCATTCAATGCCTGCGTTGCAGATAATGCATTGCCCATTCCGACAGGAACCGTTGGCGCAGCATCAGCAGCAGCTCCAAACTTTTGCCTTAAAACGAAACATCTCTTTAAAAATTGGTCAAAATATAAAAAGAATGTGATAGAAACACTTGCCTGTAGGCTTGCAGGATAGCAGTCTGTTCCACTTTCTTCACACCACGCATATCAAGAACCTTGAAAAGAAAGGATCATACAGCAATTCGAAAATACACTCTAATACAAGACTGAAGGGTTGTCCATAAAGAGGATGGTGACCATTTTCATTTTTTCAAATGAATCCACTGCATGTCGATGAGTCTCCCGTGTCCTCCTACACCACACCTCATCAGGTAATACAGGGGGCACAACATAAGGAGACACTAAAACTACGCCATACTCATTTAACAAACTTCAGAATGAGCACCAAGCTTTTTTGTTGTACCGAACCTTTCTAGGCGATGCTTTTAAGAAATTAGTTATTCGTACATTTGGATTTTCACATAAATCGAATAAAAGGCATAAAAGTGGGCATCACACCTTTTGCAATTCGGAAGTATTAGAGTCTGGCAGCAAAGTTGAATAGTGTTCCACGAAATCTTCAGGTGTATCCATATTTGACATTACTACCTGAAACTATTGAAGCTAATAGATAGAATCCAAACAATGACGGTATTAATTTGGCATTAAATATGGTAGCATTCCTCGAGAAAATCTATTACCAAGGGGATTACCAGGTGATAGAGGTGAGGCATCACGAAATATAAAAGCATAGCCATCAAATAATTAATCACTCGTTAACACATGCTAACCTTCAGGATCATTTCCGCCTTATTCA